GAATGCCGTGTAGACGGTTTCTGTCAGCATTAGTTCCTGTTCTTTAGGTACGGTGCCCACTCTACTTCTAATTTTCTTCCATTTTAGACCTTATCTATGGTCTTCTCCCTAAGACAGGAGTTTTGAGCTCTACTCTTACCATCACCACTGCCTCTCACCCATACTCGCCCATTCGCTCACTCCAGCTCCCACACTCCTCCTGCCTACCCCTCATCCCCAGGAGAACCTGACTACTCAAAGTAGAGCCAAGTAGGCTATTAGGGTTACTTTTCTCCTCTTGCATAACTTGCATCTTCCAGAATTTAACACTTACGTTGGGTTATAAATTGCTTGTTACCACTAGTTCATTATCAAATTCTTCCCCGACAGTTTAAGTTCAAACACAAGCATTCCACTGCCTTGACCTTCTCAGAGCGTGCTCCAGCCTAGACTGCTGCCCTAAGCCAGCCTCCCAGCCATCATGCTGGGACCCACCTTCACCATCCTCTTGGGAGACCCCGCCCCTTTTCCTTGTGATCTTTAGTCAATTTTCTGTATCTGGCATCTTTTTCTGTCTTGGTTTACTTTTTTGCTTTGGTGGAGCAAGTCTTCTAATGTCTCCCAATGAAATATGCATTAAAAAGAAATTATTTAAGACCTGGCATGTCTGAAAATACCTTCATTTTAATCTCCCTGATAGTTTGGTTGGGTATCAAATTTTAGTTGGGAAATCCATTTCTCTCAAAATTTTGAAGACATTGGGACCAGCAGTTAGTGTAATAGCTATGTCGCTGTACTCCCATGTAGTCGACCGTGGTTCGAGTCCTGGACCCGGTGGCTTAAACTCATGCCGGGTGCGTGTGCGTGCGTGCCCAAGATCCCGAGAGGAGAATGGAGGAGAAGGGATTGCGGCATGACCAACCCCATAGGGGGTGATTTCTCACTTTCTGTCTCTCTGTCTCTGTCTGTCTGGTGAGCGCATGCGCCCTATAGCAAAAACCTCTCAAAAATTTTTTTTGAAGACATTTATTATTTTGTAGATTCTAATGTTACTTTCAAGATGTCTGGTTTTTGAGACATTCTGATTTCTGACTCTTCATATGACATCTCCCCTCCCTACTTCTGTCTCTGGAAGCTATTAGCATCTTTGTCCTCAGCACTTAGAAATAGTATGATGATATGGTTGGTGATATATGCTTCCAGTTTTCTTATGTTCCCACTTTTAGGATACTTATTCTCATTTGTGGGAGATTTCCTCAACTTTATATTCTAAAACTTCCACAGAGGTTCTCGTTTCTGCTCTCATAAATTTAATTTTTTTCTTTCTTTCTTTTTCTTTCTTTCTTTCTTTCTTTTTTTTTTCTTTTGAGAGGTTTTTGCTATAGGGTGTGTGCGCTCACCAGAAAGACAGAGACAAAGAAAGCAAGAAATCACCTCCCGGGGGGATGGCCATGCCACAATCCCTTCTCCATTCTCCTCTTGGGATCTTGGGCACGCACACACACATGCCCAGCATGTGTTTAAGCCACTGGGTCTAGGACTTGAACTGTGGCCAACTACATGGGAGTCCAGTGACATAGCCATTACACCAACTACTGGTTCCCCATAAATTGAATTTTAAACAGCTCTTTTTTTTTATTATAATTTCTGATTTACATATAATCATTGTGTTTCTTTGTGGGATTCAGTAGGTGTCTCTAAGTATGCACACAACTGTGATAATCGAGGGTGTAAGCGTATCCATATTTCTTATCAATAAGCATTGCTTTGTATTGTCCCCAGGACTGACGTGGTCCCTTGTAGAAGGAGGTGAAGAGCTGGCTCTGCTCTCTGCAGAGGGCCTCGGGTCATCCCTGAACCTCCCGCCCACCCCCCCTCCCCGGAAGCTGCCTGGATAACCACTTGCTCCTCTTCTCACTCCTCTCTTTAGCCAAAGACAGGCGCTCCAGGGAGCCAGAATGCCCTGGTGTGCAGCATGAAGTCCCCATGGAAGCAGGTGGCCCTGCAGAGCCCTGCCCACCTGCCAAACCCATCGCTTATGTGAGACCCATGAGATGTGTGATCCCGCCCAGAGAGTCAGCCCGTTCTTCAGAGAGAGGCCGCCCTAGAGGGAGGATCCGGCAGCGAGCAGACAGAGGCCCCCGCCACAGGCAGGAAGGCTACCGTCAGGCCCCTGAGCCCCGGGAGTGGCCAGGACACTTGCTGGGATCAGATTTGCAAATACAGCTCAACAACCATGAAGAGCCAGACCACCATGTGGAACCAGAAGCCAGGCAGCCCCTGCCCTTCCACTCCACCGGAGCAGCTGTAATGAATGGAGAAGCACCCCTCGGCCCCAGGCCCAGCATGGTGCAACTGGAGCTGAACCTGCAGGATCTGCCCTGGGCCTCTGTCTCCTGGGTGGCCGTCCAGCAGCCAGCTTCAGTCATCCATCCCCATGTGGCTTTCAGTCCCCAGGCTGGCTCTGCGTGGGGCTTCCTGCAGACCCTCTCTGGTACCTACTCCTACAGGGTCCCAGTGTTCGGCACCCACACGGTTCCCTGACCTGCCACTTGCTGCAGCCTCCCTCTCTCCAAAGCCCACAATTGCTTCCCTCAACCCTCAAGGGGGCCCCATTTCTGGGCCCTGCTCTCCGCCCACACCAGCCAGAGCCTCTACCACCTATTGGCAGACTGAGCCTCCAAGCTCTCTTCCTGATAGCCTGGCAGTGGCTTGTCTGCTCCCAACGCCCCACTTACCCTAGCTTTTCATGTCTTCTCAAAGATACACAGGCCAAGTTCTCTGTGCTTGGTCAATCAGCAGGGTCCCCAAGGCCACCAACACTGTCCCACTCCCCAGATGTACACCCACTGCATGTCTGAGACAAAAGTGGTAAAGGGCACCAAAGAAATAAAACTAACAGGACACTCTGGAAAAGACTGTTAAAGAGCGTAATTAAAACCGTCAGATGAGACCATGCGCTACCCCAGAAATAGCAGCATGTGCTTACGAGAGCCAGTTAGAGGGGCCGGTGAGGGGCACAGCGTCCTGCAAGACTGACCTGGGTGGGGAAGCCCAGGTTCACATCTGGGGACCTGTCTGAGTGCCCCGGGCACGTGCACGCCTGGGCCCGCAGGCCACCTGATCATAGGTGTGGATCGCGGCGGTAAGTCCTGGGAGTGCTCTCTCTCCCTCTCTGTTGCTCATGCAAGGAGCAAGCATTCAAATGCGAGACACGCGGGGTGCAGAGTGGCGTTTGGAATACCGAGTCTTGCTGGTTGGGATCACAATGCATACGACTGAGGGTCACCCAGCAAACACCGGAACAGGCCGGAGGGAGCCAGGAGTGACCGAGCACAGCCCCAGAGGCCAGGCCATCTACACTGGAGACGCCAGGAGAAACGTGTTTGGATGAGCGTGAGCTACAGAGAAGTAGCTAATCTTCCCCAACTGAAGAGAGACGTGACTCTTGAGAAGGTGCGAGGGTAAAATGCATTCGAAGTGCTGGGGCAGTGGAGGGGCTTCCAGAGCTGCCTGGTCCACGTGGCCCTCCCGCTCCGCCCGGCTGCATCGTGAGGGCACGGCAGGCTTGGGGGTTCTAGAACGCTCGCGGGGAGGCAGGTATGGGGAAGGAGGCGGGAGTGTTAGCCCAAATGCATGGCCTCTGGAAGGCAGGCTTAGGCCAGAGCGGACGCGCGCTTGCTTACTCAGCCGTGGTCCCGGTCCAGGCCCGTGCAGCGGGGCTGTCACCTCAGTGAACGTGCAGGTGTTGGTTCTCAGCCAGAACAGCAGCCAGGGAGGAGGAAGCGGGACGCCGGCCACAGCAGACACGGAATTGGAGACTGGATTGTCTGCAAGAAAACAACCTGGAATTTACTAAAAAGGGAAACCGCAGCAAGACATAAAACGAGAACCTCACCGGGATCCCGTCTACAGCCCGGCGTGCTCACCGAGGCCCCGAGGCCTGCAGTCCCCCGGCAGGCTTTGGAGGAGAGGGGTGGGAGTGCACCAGGACCCGGACAGTCGTCCTGGGCTCCGGGACCCACAGCAAGCGTGGCCTTCATAATGCACCGCCCTGCACGTTTTCGGCCTTTCTAGCAAACCCGGCCTGGGGGGCTCCTGGGGACTCCTGACGTGTAGCCAGGTCAGCAAAAGTATGGGGGCTGGGACAGCCCCTGAAAATCGACCCTCTGTGCTGTAGCCCTCTCTGCCTGGCCATCACAGCCCGCCCTCCAGGGGGTGCAGCCTGCCCAGAGCGGGGCTTCGTCCTCAGGGAGTCGCCTTGTTTCCAGGTCCCCTGCAGCTGCGGCGGTGGGTACTGCTCCTCCAGGGATGGTCATGGGTGACTTCCTGTTTCGCCAGGTGGCCGGAGTGGGTGCCGACCCCTGGTGGAGCTCCCGGACAGCCCCTCCTGCCGCAGCGCCTCGCCCTGGGCCCACCTGCAGCGGAGTTGGGCTCATTAAAAATAATTGCCGGGCTGGAGCCAGCCCGTGACGGAGCCCCTTCTCAGGGCTGCCTGAGCCGCTGCTGAGAGTTAGAAGCAGAGCCCCAGGGGAGGCCTCGCTGCAGGGCGAGGGGAGCCCAGACACCAGAGCCCGGGTAATGAGGGACATCGTGCACCGCCCCGGGCCGGAGCAGCGGCCCCCACTGCCTGCAGGGAAGGGACGCTCAGAGGGGCGACACTGGCCATGGGGCAGCCGACAGCACCGGGGCCACCGGATGGCCTGGGTTCGGGGCGAGTGTGCTGGGGCACAGGCGGCCTGACCAGGTGGGACTTCCGGTGGCGGCACCAGGGCTAAGCTAGGCCCTGGCAGTGCAGAGCGTGGTGACCTGAGGCTGGACAGGGGCGCGGAGGCAACGGACCCAGGGCTCCAGAGGCCAGATGGGCTTCAGCCAACCTCCCCACAGCCGAGCTGCCGCCCAGCGCAGGAGCCAGGAGCTCCTGCCACATCAGCCAGCCAGGTCCCCTTCTGGGTGTGACTCAGGAACACAGTCTCCGGCTCCTTAACACGCGTGAGCACACGTTGTCCAGCCCAGCGTGGCTGCCGCGGGAGCGGCCTCTGAGGAACCGATGAAGGTTGGTGAGCTGGCGACGTGGGCCTCTCCCTTGGGGCTGGCGTCCTCGTGAGCAGAGATCTCTGTCTCTCCGCACACGCATGGAGAGGGGGACAGCGAAGGGACGGCGCCTGACGGGAGACACCTGACCCTGCCAGCCGGGCACAGCCTCCAACCCGGGGGATACCTGGCCGTCAAGCCCGGCTGCGTGTGGCCACCCTTGGGCTCCCTGAGCGCTGGCGAGCACACACCCTCAGGCAGTTCCAAGCCATTTTCCTAGATAAAACGGCTGTCCATGGCTCCCTGTTAGGGCAGCCCAAGCTATAATACATACTAAACACACATGTGTGCAAACACGTGCAGACCCACCCACACAGTATACCCACATGTACAAGGCACATGGACACACGCGCGTACACACATACATGTTTACATGTGTGTACCCACACCAGTGCACCGACACATATGTAAACATGTATGTGTGTATACATATATACATATATACCCACAGTACACATGTACATGAGTGCCCATGCACACGCACACCCAAGTGCACCCACACACGTGAGTGGAGCTCTCTCCCTCTTTGGAGACTCCCTGGCTGGGCTGAGAGGCCGGCGTGGGCGGGCACAACAAACCCAGTGGGCCCAGTGCCTTGGCCCAGAGGCTGTCCTGCCGTTGGCGACACTGTGTGCGTGGTCTCAGCAACCTACCACAGGGCCTCACTCTCTCCACCTGCAAAATGGGTATTAGACTTACCTCCGAAGGGGAGGCTCACGTGTGTGACGTGTTCAAATCTCCAGGGTTCGCACCTGTGGTTCCAGACACTTGGGAGGCTGAGGCGAGAGGATCCAGCATCACGAGTGGACACGGCCTTGTTATGGAGGGGGGGGTGGGCAGGATGTGGCCGGGCGGTCCCGGGATAGGGCCGAGAAGTGAAGACCCAGCTGAGGGCCTCTCTGAGCCCCTGCGGAGGTGGCCCGGGCAGCAGAAGTCCAAGCAGGTGGCAGGTGGGTCCTTGCCCGGATGTCCTCTGGACCGCCCAGCACCTTCAGAACCATGAGGTCTGACTGCACCCCAGAGAACCTGCCGGATGGGTCCCCGTGTCTGCACAGTCCAGGGGACCCCAGGTACTAGGGATAGTCAGGGCCCACGAGGGCGGTACACAGACACAGATGACAGTTTACCAGGAGAGACAAGGCCCTCAGCCTACAGGCAGGGTCGCAGGGTCAGCCACGGAGTACCTGGCCTCCAGCCAGTGCAGAGGCCGGGGCTGGCTGCAGGGAGGTGCCCCCCACATACCCGGCTGGTGGCCGCTGGAGATGAGCATGGAGGAGGGATTTCCAGGGCGGGACCTGGGCGTGTTGCTATCCCGGGTAGAGGCCTGCAGGACCAGGTCTCTGCAGGAAAACGCACACCCCACAGCCTGGCCTCTGGCACGGCTTCTTCCGGTGCCCTGTCCCCAGGTGGCCCCCACCCCGGCAGCGGCCCCACGCCCCTTCTCTGCTCTGGCTGCGGGCAGCCCCGGCCATCCGACCCGAGACCAGAGGCAGCTGGGGCCCGCCTGGGACCACCCCGAGGTTTGCGCCCACTCTGCCACGTACAGCCTGGGGTGATCCCACCCCGTTTTTTCAATAACCATATGGTTTAATATCCGAAGTCTTTAATTAGGTCTTTTCACAGCTGCTAATTCTCATTTTTACAGCAATATGCTTTCTTATCTCTGAGGGCACTAATTCCCAGTAACATTAAATAGTGCCCGCTGTGTCGCTCGGTTACGGCCGGCTCTCCTGCGAACGTCCTTGCGTCTGTCCAGCCCGTGGCCGCGTCCTCCGAGGGCTCAGCCGCTCCCCGTCCGGGGCCTCGCACTCTCTGGCCCACGAGGGCTGCCGTGCTGGGCTGGAGGCCTGCTGGGTTCATGCTCTTAGTGCCTCTCTTCCTTCCATGAGTGAAGCGACGAGAGAGGGAGACGGAGGACAGCGTCCCACCCGCCCAGCCAGCCTCAGAGCGCCGCACACGTATGTGCCGTGGGGGGCTCAGGGAGGGCTCCGGAAGCACCCCGGACCCTCCCACATGGTCGGCCTCGCGTGCCTCCTGTACCAGCCCTGGTTTCACAGTGAAAATCCCTGGGGCGTGGGCCAGGGCCTCTGCTGCCCACAGGAATGTAATTAAAAAGCACTTTCTAGAGTTTTTTGCTATAGAGTGCATATACTCACTGGAGAGAGAGAGAGAGACAGAGACAGAGAGAGTGAGCCCCCTCCCCCATGGCCGTGCAGAGATTCCCTTCTTAGAAAAAAGGAACAGGAAGGGGGCAGGAGCAGTGTGTGGGCGGGTCGCCGTTGGTCGCCGTTGGTCACCGGGTGGCACCCGGCGGTGGGGGGTGCCCCTGACCTTGTTCTCATGGCTTCAGAGTCCGGAGGAGTTAGGCCGTGGACCCTGAACTGTGGAGAACAACAAAACAGCAGAGGGGCTCAGCACGCTGAAAGTACTGTTTAAACAAATTATTAGTGTCTACTAAGAGCGCCCAAAGCTCGTTTTCCCGTAAGACTCATGAAGTTGGCAACTGGCCAGTCCGAGAGCCGGAGTGGGGAGGGACACTCTTCCTACGACAGAAAGGAGAATTTAGTTTAGGTAAAAAGGAGATGTTCTAAAAATTGTAAATTAAAAAAATCATAATTATGCCAATTATTAGATTTTCCCCTGAATTGCCTGTTTATAATCTCTGCCTATTTTCCTATTCAGATTTTTGTCTGAATGTACAATTATTACGTATACGATTACTATCATTACACTTTAAACGTTTAATGAAATGGACGACTTCGTAGGAAAATACAAACAATCAACATTAGCCCAAGAAAAAATAGA